GATCTCTTAGTATGTTCGAGGATGTTTTAAAGAATTATGAAACCGAGTTAAGCAGTGATATGGTCATTCACAGACATATTAATAACTTGTATGAAAGTTTGATGGAACAGAATATTTTAAGAATTTTGGAATCTTATTCACACATTGAAATCTCTCAACTTGCTTTATTCCTCAATCTTTCTTCCGAAAGAGTTTATTCCAAGGTTATTGAAATGATTTTAAACAAGTTGATTCAGGGAAATATTGATCAAAGAACTGAAGTTCTTACTATCTATGATGAGAATCAGAATTCTAATTTAAAGATTCCTGAACTTATCTCTACATTCGACAATCTTTCAAATGTCGTTGATGTTTTATATGAAAAAGCTACCAGGACAGTATAAAAGAAAGATTGATGAAGAGAGTAGTTAATTTATTCGATGGAGTCTTGTGTTCCCTTAATTGGGTATATAGATCTATTGAATTATTTATATATCAATACTATCAATGCAAAATTCTACTCGGCTAATAGCAACTAAATAATTATCTAGAAAACGATCACCTTTTTCTTCTTCATTGTTTCTCTCCTCCTGTATCTTCAAATTCTTATCGATTGAAATAATCATATACATATATAACTAGGATGTAAAATTATATTAGATTTATAAACTAGCAGTTAAAATAATAAAGGAAAGCCATACTATGGTAAGAAAATACTAACTTATATATCTTCTAGTTCAACTTTTCTGAGCTTAATCTGAACCCAGCCTAAATCCCCTTCCTGAAAAGGCTCTAGGTTGAGCAGAGTTTCCTGAAAATGGATTGTAAGAAGAACCAGCTCTATTTACATTTGAATTTGGATAGTTAATTACATTAGGATGGCCATTTAAAGATGAAAAGTCATAGACATAGTTCTTAATCAGTAAAGAAGAGTAGTCAACAAATTTGTCAAAATGCTTTGGAGTTCTGGCTAAGAAGTTATTTGCGTTATTCTCATATATAATATCTCTAATATAGTAATAAGAATGTCCAGCTAATAATCCAATCAAATCGTCAATCAAAGAGTTACCAGTCAAAACATCCAAAAATAACAATGCATATGGTAACTGATAAGCTTGCAAAGTGAATCCCCAAATACTTACCAAAGAAGTTGGGAATTTCTTACTCCAGTAATAAATTATACCAAAAATCAATGAAGAGCCTCCAATTTTTCTTCCTGTGGGGTAATCAAAAGCAGTACCTATTATGTTAATTCCTGTCATTAAAATCAATATAAAATACAAATAAGACCCAGATGAGGAACCAACCGACCCACTTCTCTCTAATTTTGATGAAAATGATGTAAACATCCATTGGCTCATAATCCATCCAATACTAAATGGACCCACAAAAAAGAAGCTTGTGAGGAATCTCCAAATTTGTGCCTTGCGAAAAATGTACTCCCAATCAAAGAGAATATACCATGGATTCAACATACCAAAAGTTATTAATAAAGTTGAAAAAAATGTTATTGTGAGGATACTCCTCGTGATTGGAGGTAAGTTCTTATACCAACCTTGTGGAGATGAATCATTGAACATATTTTCCTTTTATAATAATTCTGGTCTTTTTAAGCAATTTTATTTTTTTAATATAATTTCTCAAAAAAAATTAACACGTCATTACCGGTATATAACTTTTTTTTTTTTTTTTACTTTGCCATTTTTCCCCCTATAATAAAAATATTCTCAATTTCTAAGGGGAGTTATGGCGCCAATATGGTTAATTAATAATATTCTTGTATTAACATATAAAGTATAACTTTCAATAATAGATGAAGTGCGGATTAAAGAATTTGCTGAATGATTTAAAGAGTTAGGGAAATTGAATATATTGTTTGATGAGGTTCAGGGTGACTTGAATGATATAAGAAGAGTGGAAAAGTAATCTAATTTAGGATAAAGAAGAATCCACCAAATCTTGAAATCTTTTTGTTGCTTCTTATTGTAATAAGTAATTGATATTGGTATTTATAATTCTAAATAATTCATACAATATGAATGGGGAATTAGGAAGTATTAGTACTAAAAATGACTCCACTGATAGATTATATAACTCAGTGTATAAGGGGAGTGAAGAAATAAATCTTCAGTCATTAGAAGCTGGTAATGATCCTCTTTCAATATACAAGCAGGTTTCATCCTTGAATGATTGTTTTGAAGGTAGAGATAATAATAACTTAAATTCACAATATCAGAACTTTGATATGGATAAAAAGCCGTTGAATAAAACTTTAGAAGATCTTTCATTATTTGATCCATTTCCAAGCACACAAGGAAGATCAGTTGAAGTTAAGCCTATGCTAGCTTCTCCAACAATAGTACCAGAGAGCCGAAGTAATATCAGTAACCCCACAACAAATATTAATAAATCCAGTTCAAATTTAAGAACATCCACAAGTGTTTCAGGTTTATTTTCTTCTTTAGCAAACACAGTAACGCAGAATATTAGTTCTCAAATACAGAATGCATTAAGAGAAACCACTTCGAATATGATAGTGAGTAATAGCAATAATCAAAAGGCTCAGGATCTATCCAGATGGTCAGAGATCCTTTCCAAGATTCATAATAATAAAGGTCCAATATCAAATACAAGTCTGGAAATTTGTGAGGCTGATGCGGAGAATATAACTAAAAATATGAGTATTATACTTCTTCCTGGTGAAAAGTTGTTGTTATTTAGTAAAGAGTGTGGAATTTCTGCTCAAGGTCTGGTAGGTCCTATTTTTGGATCCTTCATTATGACAAACTTTAGAATAATTCTTGCTCCTCTTTTCCAAAAGAATATTAACAATAAAGCATTGACAATAGTAAAAAGATTTTCAGTATCTTGGATGTACAAATCAGGCTTTCTTCATATTCCAATTCATTCAATAACTCAGATTGGGGTTAGCTCTTTGATTTCTGGTAATGATAATAATGGAGTAAACACAGAAGGCAGTAATAACCATACAATTCCAGGACAATATATTGGAAATAACTTGAATCTAGTAGGGTCATTAGGTACAACAATTGGAGGTTCAGGAATTGGGCAGAATGGCCAAATAAATATGAATTCCAAAAGTTGTACTTACACATTGGATATTTCAACCAAAGATTTGAGATCGATCCAAATTCTAATAGTAAGCTCTGAGCAAGACAAAAAGCTAATTCAAAATAGTATTCAAAATATTCTGAACGAGACTTTGCATAAAAACTTGTTTTCGTATACTTTTAGGGAGAATTTTGAGAGTTTACCATTATTTTCTTCAATTAATGGGATTTTTGAGTTTGATATTTTGAAAGAATATAATAGACAAGGAGTTCCAATATCATCAGGTTTAATTAATGAAAATACTTCAAGATTTCCTTTAAGATTCACAAATGTGAATCAAAACTTCGAGCTTTGTTCTTCATACCCAAGAATAATTGTGGTTCCTGAAAACATATCCGATTCACAACTAATTAAAGTAGCAGCATTTAGATCAAAGGGAAGAATACCAATTTTAAGCTGGACAAACCCAGATTTAAAGTGCACTCTATGGAGGTCTAGTCAGCCAAAATCTGCGTTTAAAAGATGTATTGAGGACGAGATGATGATAACAACCATTTCCAGCTTTTACAAAAATAATGGAGACCCAAAAGAAGAAAGACCTTTTGCAATACTGGATGCTAGACCAAAATTGAATGCATTTGCTAATAAAGCAACAGGAGCTGGATTTGAGAATATTGATCATTATACCAATTGTAAATTAGAGTTTTTGAATATTGAAAATATCCATAAGGTTCGTGATTCTTGGAATAAGTTGGTTTCAGTAATTCAAAAAACTTCATCAAATCAAGATTTGAGTGTTGGTAATGCTAATTTTGAGAAAGTGATGAATTTACTTAACCAAGGAGATATCAGTTCTGTTCAAGCTCAATCAGTACTTGCTTCTTTGAATAGAATGAATAATTCAGAGAATTTAACGGGATTAAAGTTGATTTCAGAAATAGATTCAACAGGCTGGTATGACTTAATTAGTATGATCCTTGCATCATCAAATAAGATTGTTGATCATTTGATTAGGGAAAAAGGAGTTTTGGTACATTGTAGTGATGGATGGGATAGAACTTCACAACTAACAGCACTTGCAATGCTTTGTATGGACCCTTATTACAGAACAATTCAGGGATTTCTTTCACTTATAGAAAAAGAATTCATACTTTCTGGTCACAAATTTCATTCCAGATCTGGTACTCCTGGCAAAGAATCTTGTTTAGAAAACGAGTCAGAAAGATCTCCAATATTTATCCAATGGTTAGATTGTGTTTACCAATGCTATAATCAGTTTCCAACAGAATTCCAATTTCATCCAAACCTATTAATTATTATTGCTGATCACTTAAATAATAGTTTATTTGGGAATTTTCATTGTGATAATGAGTATGAGAGATTTTGTATAGATTCTAGAAATTCGACGGTTTCTTTATGGGATACAATAATGTATTCTATTAAGAATAATTCTAAAGGTAATCTGGATAATGGCCAAGTTGAATCCCTTCTTTCTCTAAATTCCTCTATAATATTCCATAAAGAGCTTGTAAATCCTCTTTATAATCCCACACATACACAAGTCAGGACGCATGCTGATGTATTAATACTAGATTCTTCTTCTTTTGGAATTACTCCTTGGATGCCTTTTTGGTTCAGATTCACTCCAATTAATGCAAAGACTGTATCTAACCCACTTTTATATAGTAACTACTAAATATTTGTTTATTTCTTAATACTTTTATCTCTCAAAACTTAACATTGATCATTTTCTTCCATAATAGTTCATCAAAAATTTTTTTAAACTTCGTTTATTTTCCAAAATATTTAATTGAATAATCTATTTATTAATCTTTAAATAGAATGCCTTGTTAATTTCCTTCTTGAACAAAAATTTATCTGAGTTTTATTAAGCTTAATATTTTGATTTGTATAGATTAACTCTTTATAAAATCACCATAGCGGCGTAAGGAGCTATAGTCTAGCGGTAGGACCCCGGATTTTGATTCCGGTAGCCTGGGTTCGATTCCCAGTAGCTCCTGTATTTCCACTTTTTTTTTGTCTTTATGGCGCCTATTTATTTTCGGGAAAGCCATCCCCCTCAGTGTTTTTTTCCTGATAAAACTTCCAAATCAAATTTTCCTTTGCTGTAGTTCTTCATATTCCACTTTTTTGGACAATATAATTCTCCGTAAATTTATGAATTCATAGACAATTCATACAAAACATCAATTAAGTAAGCTTAATAATTTTCTTCCTTGCAATTAGGAATAGTGCATAGCTTAATTGACTTGGTTATATTGTATTAATGTAATTAAAAAAAAAATGCAGTAAATTCTGTGGACTCTCAGTAAAATACAATTACTGAGAATAAGTAGTAAAATAATTAAAATAGACTATTTATATAATAATAATAATAATGATAATAATAATCAATTAAGAACTAATTTAGAAGATTTCAGATTGAAATCTTTGTTCAATAATTGATAGATTTGAAGTTAATCGTTTTATTTAAAATAACTTTAATATGATGATGAATAATTAATGGATGCTATTATTAATAAATATTCAATACATCCAATTGAACAATTATTACATTTAGCTTTTCTTCGTTATTACATTTCCCAGGTAAGGATTCTTGAATCAAGTCTCCCAAACTTGGTGAAGTTCTACCAAGATCTCCATTTACAAACTCTTTGATATATGTACCAGCTTGTGCTAATAAGTCCAAAATAAAGTAGTTATCATTAATTGGAGAAATCATGAGATCATATATTTTACGATCTCTATTTATATTTGGCCTTCGATGTAAAACGCGAACAGGAGTTCTTTGATTAAGGGTAATAGGAAATTTGAGTTTCTCTGAAATTTCATGATATTCATGGATATAAATAGGAGTAGATATATAGCAAATACAACGGTATGATTTTTGCCTATCATTAACTTCCTTATTCATTTTTTGAACCGAATAAGAATCTGAGAAATTTAAAGCTGATATTTCAATTCTTGAATTAGATTTCTGTATTATAGTATCTTTAAGTAGTTGTATGAAATTTTCTCTAGAAAAATACTTGGAATTTTCTTTCAAGTCCATAACCTGAATGTTTTTTGGATAAAATAAATAATGATGGGTTAAAATATTACCAATTTCTATAGCAAAAGGCCTTCCAGCTGGAGTTATTGATTGTTTAATCTTGACTTCTGTTGAGAGACAATTATTTCTGCTCTGATCATAATTTCGGTCTTCATTTAAATTAAGATCACGGTCAAAAAGTGTATTAGCATAATTTCCAAGCATTCTCACATCAACATCTTCTCTACCTGATGAAGAAAATGTGAATTTCTCAAAATTTATTAATTCTTTCAAAGAATTAATAAGAATCTCCTCGATAGAGGTATCAACAGTTATTTTGTTTTTATCGCCATCTGAAAATCCCCATTTTGATTGGGATATTCTTCTGGAAAATTTGATGTAACGGCCCAATAAGTATACATTATTCCATGTATAAGAAACAACCATAGAAAACATAAAGCCATTAGCATGTTCTAAATGCGTTGGAATTTTTGTTGAAAAAACAAAGTTGATATATAATTCACTATTTTGGTTAAGTTTTAAAGTATGAATTTGATTCTGAGAAATATCCAAATTTGTATTCATACCTTCATCAGAAGTTATTTGACTTAATAATAAGTTTCTTAGACAATTTTTTAAACTAAAGCACATCTCTTGATCAGAATTAAGCCTTAATTCTGGAGTAAATTCAATGGAAATTCCTGCTTCTTTAACTTTCAATCCAGTGTCATTAGATACTGCTGCAGTTAAAGCATTATTAAAAACTGTACCCAAGTACCCTTTAATTGATTGATGTTTTAACTCATCATTTATATCATCTTGTTTATATATAATATAAGTGTTAATTATTCCTGATTGTGTGTTTTGAACTGCCATAAACTTATTAGATTGTTTACGCCTTACTTTTTTAACTTCATTTGGAATCTTCAAAATACAATACTTTGATCTATTATCAATTAGTAATAAATCTCTACAGCTGTGACATTTTTCTTTGTTATTAGTTGATGATAAGTTTGCTAAAATTGCTTGTTCAGAACCAAATTTAAAGCTTTCAACATTGAATGAAGTCTTTCTAATTTCGCATCTCCAACATAAATTGTTCATTTCTATAGACCTTAATCAAATAAAAACTAAATGAATGTTGCATTATTGTTATTCCATTTGAATTTTGTGTTTTTAAATCCGCTATTAATAATTAATGTATCAAAATTGACAATTGGCGCCACCTTGTAAATATAGTAAAATCACTCTCTCCATAATATCTCAACTTGATCAGTTCTAAATCTTTGAGATACTGCAGACTCTTCCACTTTTGTGATGAAATTTTTTTGGTATGCTAATAATCCTGTATGAGCAATCATTGCTCCGTTATCAATGCAATAACTATCATCCATGCTACATACAATAGCTCCTCTATCCTTTGCCATTTGTTCCATCATTTCAATCAACCTTAAATTGCATCCAACACCTCCGACTAGTAAGATTGAATCTGAGTTTAATAGACTGATTGCTCTTTCTGTAACTTCAATTAACATTGCAAAAAGGGTCTCTTGCAAAGAAAAGCAGAAATCTTGATAAAAAGATTGTAATTTTTGTTCATCATTATTAAATTCTTTTTGTTTCTCTGCTATTAGTTCTTCTCCAAAAGTTAGAATTCCGGAAAATGATAAATCCATGCCTTTAACAACATAAGGAAGTGAAATTAAATTCTTTCCTTTTTTTGCCATTTGTTCAATATGGTATCCTGCTGCAGGATAATTGTCAAGTTTCATAACTCTAGCAAATCTATCAATGCAGTTCCCGATTGCAATATCCAAAGTTTCACCTAAAATTTTGTATCTTTTGTTGGCATAACCTATTATTTGAGTGTTTCCTCCTGACGCATATAGTACTATAGGATTTTCAACTTTAGTTACGAGTCTTCCCATTTCTATGTGAGCAACGCAATGATTTACTCCGATTAAAGGTTTTGACCAAAGCATGCTCAACATTCTTGCAACTAGAGCTCCAACCGCTAAAGGTGCACCCATTCCTGGTCCTTGTGTAAATGAAATAATTGTTATTGAATTCTTATTTATTCCGGATTTTTCTAAAGCCTGTTTAACCAAATGCAATATATTATTTCTATGAAATTCTGCAGTTTCTCTGGGTAAAAATCCAGAGCCCTAAAATTGATTAAAGTAATTAAAGTTAAAGATAAGGATTATTCAATATTATTTTCATTCAAACTTACAGGTGGTCCCACAAATGTCATTTTTTCATTTGCCAAGATTTCTCCTTTAGATGTTACTATTCCGACTCCTACCTTGTTTGCGCTTGACTCAATCCCAAGGGAAATTAGAACTTCATTATTAGATCCCTCCATGAATTTGATATTTCAATTTTGAGAAATCTTTTCAAATCTTTAATCTTTATTTAATTCAAAACATAAAAATAGCATTAACTTTTAATTAAGCTTTTTTAGCGGTAATATTTTATATATGGTTAATGTCATTTTTACTTTTATTTGACAAGATTTTTCATATCATTAAATTGATGTTATTATTTTAATTTTTACGGAGAAAAAAATGTTTTTGTAATTTTGGATTTTACCATTTATGATTTTCATTTTAACTAAATATAAACTTTGTTTTGTACTCACTTGATATTCCTGCTTTTAACTTGTTCTATTAATTTAAAGCAAAAAAAAATCGCAATCATCAGGATTTTTTAAATATATTCAAAAAATTAAATTAATAATACACGTAACTTTAATTTTTACTCATATTTACAATGCATTCATATTTCCACATACCGTTTTTTGCATGCAATTTTTATTTTTACTTGCATATACCGGTCATCCACATGTAATTATTAATTACGTGTTAAATTTAAAATAATAACAGCAATAATAAAAATATTAAGTTAATAATATACGAAAGATAATTCATGATAATTTAAGCTATAAAAACTAAGGAAAATTAGGATTCATTGAAATTGGTATTGAATTCTGAAGTTAAGTGGTCTTTAATTTCATCAACAATTGCACTACAGGAAGCTTCTGCAAGGGAAAACCCTTCTTCAATTCTTTTTGGGTCTTTAAAAAAGTCACCATTTGCTGATAAATATACAACTTGGTTTCTAATTGTACAAAGACCTATCTCAAGAGTAGAATAATTGCTTGCTCCAAGGTATGAAATTTCATTATAAGTTGGATCCAAAATCATAGAGTATTCATCTTCAGTTTGTTTTTTTCCATCATGATTAAATAAAGAATTTGAGTTTACAGCAATAATATTTGTTGCTGAAAAGAGTCCAATAATCTCAATTTTTGCATTGCAGAGAGATAGGCAAGCAGCTGAAATTGCTGCAGAAAATGCTGATCCATCATCGTCTATAATGTAAAAGTAGCAGTCAATACTGCTTCTTTTATACTTTTCATGGCATATAACTGAGCTTATAACTTTTTCAAGAAGAATTGATTTAATTTTTTCATCAGATTTTATCTCAATATTTTCAGTATTCACTTTGCTTTTTGCTAAAGCTGAATCTCTACAAAAGCTTCCAATGGTATATTCTACTGAAACTGATAAACCATCTTCGATTGGGTTTTGCTTGCACAAGTTTGGTCCATAAATCCCGCATAAAACCTTTGTATTTCCTATTGAAAAATAGGCTGAACCATCTGCATTTTCAATAACTCCAGTACGAATTGTAATTGGCCTCAATTCTTCAAATTGTCTATCATCATTACGAATCAATACCTTATTTTCAGATATTATGTTAAAATTTCCTGGATTCTCTTTTTTTAAAGTTGAAGAATCGCAATTTTTTACTAAGCTCTTATTTTCTGAAATTGGAGTTAAAGGAGGAAAAGAGTCAAAAACTACCATAATAATACTAAAGCTTGAATATAATTGAAAATTAAATACTTAAAGATTATGGATTATTTGTTTATTAATAATGGGCAATATAAATGCTGAAATATC